GTGCATCAATGCGTTGATCAAAACTTTCGAGCTTGTGCAGGGCCAGGACTCATAATGGTCACTCCTCTACACTTCGGTGCGTACCCCCGTTGCACGCTCATCGCTCTTGTTTGGAGATTATCCCCGATCAGTGACGCAGCAACCTCTGGTACACGGCCACACGTTGCGGACAGGGCCTTGTAAAAAGGGACGTCCAACAGACTTGCTGGGCGTATCATCCGGCATATCAAGGCGTTGTCCCCTTGTGCTGGTCTCAAAAGGCCAATACCGCGGGAGACGGGCCTCTCGGGGTGGTGGTTATCCATCCCGATGACGGCATGCCGCGTAGCATAGTTGTGGCTTGCTTGTGGCGTAAGAGTCGCGAACGATGTCTACGTGAATGCGCATAATGTTAAATGGTATTTTTAGCGGCAGGTTTCGTTCGCATGGTTATTGTGTATCGCACCTTTCGAACGGTGTAGTATTTGTAGCTGCTTGTGACGTGCAGACGATTATCTTTTGTGTTGATGTTTTGTGTTTTCATCACAAGTGATCTTAGTTGTGTGGAAAGTGAATTCTGTTGTCGGAGAAGTGATTCTCTAGCGCTCTTAGATTATGTAACATTTAAGTAGAAAGCTATTGGGTTGTTTTGTATAAGAACAATGGTTGTTTAATGACTATACATATCGACAATAGTTTGGTGTTCTTGCATGCTTCCTGAGTTGATGATAGGTTTGATATTTGGGTACATCTTTTGAACATGTAGCGTGACGACCTTGATGAGTGTATGCTTAATAGCTTTAGAACGAAGAGCTTCGTTTGTATCTTGTGGCATGCACACTGAGCTGAAGATTTGGTTTTGTCACGCTGTACGATATTCAGTGCCGCGATTTGTTAGCGTTTGTTTTCTGTCTCGAACACTGGGGTGGAAGGGACTTTCAATTTTGGTGTATTGTGTGCGACTTAGTGCCGGTGCGTGCTGTGAGCGGTGGTGCTCTGTGTCCGCTTCTGGACTGTACACCGCCTGGTCGGGCTTCCCTGTGAATGAACTCTCCCGGCGGGCTTGCCTCGTTTGGCACCCTCGTCGCGATCATCAAGGGTGATCGCCATTAGTGGCGGCACTCAGCTGAGCTCCCGTGCGGTATTTGGGTCATCTGCGCCACCTCCACTTCTGACCTTCATGACCCCCGGGCCTTCGTTTGAGGGGGGGGATGGTGTGGGGTCCCGTCGGCATCCCTTCTGGTCGACAACCGGACGCCGGCGCCTGGAGACTCGTTTTCGGTCCCCTCCGTGGCAAGGACGGCGCCTTTGAGGTTTGGTTCCCCGAGCGCCTCCTCTCTCGGGACCCATCTTGAAGACATTGGCGGTGTCGGCGGTGGACATCATAGGACCCCCCTCCCGGACCGCGTCGGCGCCCGAGGCCCTGCTCGTGCCGCGGCAGAGCCAGACGGGGAGCTCGAGGGAGAGACCGCCCACGATGGGAGACAAGCGGCCCCTGCCGGTCTGGTGCGTGGCGACGGCGGGAACGGGGGAAGCTCGGACGACGGCAAATAGAAAAGGGACCCATCTGGAAGACGTTGGCGGCGTTGGCGGTGGACATCCAGGACCCCCCCTCCCGGACGGCGTCGGCGCCCGAGGCCCTGCACGTGCTACGGCAGAGCCAGACGGGGAGCTCCAGCGAGAGACCGCCCAAGATGGGAAGGAAGAGGCTCCGGCCGGTCTGGTACGCGGTGACGGCGGGAACGGCGGGGAGGGCTCGGACGACGGGAAATAGGAACGGGACTCTGGGGCGGGAAACGGGCCACGACGGACGTGCGCGGTGGTGGCGACCGCGACGTCGGCTCGGGCGACGGCCCGGTGACATGGTCCGGATTTAGACTCCGGATTCGACCCTCGACGGCGACGTCCACAGGATGTGGTGTAAACTAGCACCGCACGGACGATCGGCATGCAGCATACAGTGGCGGCGCACCCCCTCTAGGTTTCCTCGATCACCTGTCCCGATCCCGAAACCCCCCAGCAGAATGTGAGTGGAATAAACCCCTTCTGCCGAGAGCTATGCGTTGCTGTGTCATGTTCATCCGGAGACAGGGTCCCGGGGAATCGGACGAGAACCCTATAAGTTGACGCCTTATTTTTCTAGGGGCGGGGGGGGGGGGGGGGGGGGGGGGGGGCGGGGCGTTATTGTACATGAGTCATTTGCCAGTGTTGATAAATTCGAATCTGTAAAAATAAACAATTATTATTCTTAATATTATTATTATTATTAAAATGAATAGATAATTGTTTGTAGAATACAAATCCACGAACGTTGAGTGAGTTTGAGATAGTATCCACCGACCTCCTTTAGCACCGTTTCAGAAACTCCGATCCCGATCAATTAAAGTGACAAAAATACGAAAACGCAAGAAAGAAGCGACCAGTAAAAGATTGCGCCCCCTTTCCGACACACACACATGCACATTTCCGGAAACCGCATAACCTTGTCGGCGTGCCCATGGCGCCGAGACAGGTATACTTTGGAAGCACGCGAGCAGAGAGGGCTTTATCGCCCCGGGAAAATTGGCCCGGGGTTCGTTCGAAAAGCGCCAGATCGCGAAAGTCGCGCGCGCAAAGAAGAGCCCGCACACGCAGCAGCAGCGTGGCGCTAACGACGGTTGAGACACCGGCGGCGACGTTAGCGTTAGCGCGGTCGCACTCTCCCTCCTTTTCGTACAGTCGTCGTCGGCAGCGCAACGCCGCCGCGCGTTCTCGAAACGAGCGAGGCAATTAGTGCTGCGCCCTGGCGGCTCGGAGTTGCGTTAGGCGGTCGTACCTCGCCGCCCTCAGCCCTGATGGCCCGCTTCTGGACGAGGGCGAAGTTTCGTTGGCGTTGTTTCGAACTGGAGTGGCGGGGAGTTCGAGAGACAAAACTCGTTGTGTCTTTAAAGGAAGTGTACCGCGTCCATTGTGTGAACATACTGCTCGCACGTCATACAAAATACGAGGTGTTCTTCGCTGCAGGCTTGATGGCAGACTTATTTGTGGACACACCTCAGCGTGTTCGCTTCACACATATGTATGTTTCGAATATGTCGACGTACAACTTTTGCATGAGCATGACCAACGTGACGGGACCATCATACACGGAAGAAACATGCCTCAGACAGTCTCTGCAGACTGTGACTTTTGTGTGAGCGCGGCGTGAAGGAACTACCGCGTCTTTGGTGTGAACAGCTGTTCGGAAAAGGATCACGTGATAAGCGTTTGTTGCGACCGCAGGGTTAGCACGGCGTACCACAACTCTAAATACTCCGTGTCACTAGTCGTGTGCAGTACAGGCGAAGGCAACGCCAGGCGAGGGGAGAAAGGGCAAGCATTAGGAAGGCTGGGGAAAAGGAGAGACACCTCCTCTCCTCCCTGACGTTCCTTGAGCTCTCCCTTCCTTCCCTCGCCCTCCTCTCTGGTCCTGCCTTCCTAGTGCTCGCCCTTCCTCTCTTCGCCTGCACTGCACACAATTGTACACCTTTTCCACGAGGGCTCAGCCATCTTGAATGTCGTCAGTTCACGAAAAATGCGTTACTGTCACACATCCTTGTTTTGCCTCAACTATATTTTCTCGCATATTTCAGATTCAAACGTTTTGTTATTTTTTCGTCCCGCATACCAGGTACAGAACTCACGTGACTGAGAACGAAAAGCAACGGAAAACGTCTATAGGGAGTATTCACTGGACGCCATATTTGTGGGTGCTGTTTAGAGCGCATGCTCAGAACGAGCTCACATTATTAGGCTTCTAAGACCACCAATCTCGATGGTGTGGAATGCACGTTGCAAAAGAACTGTGAAAGCTCGCACTTAGCGCGCGCTCAGCCGTCGCGCACACAGTTATGGCCGCCAGTGAATACTCCCTATTAGCGGCGAGATGTTTTAGTGGCGCCCTCCTACGGTTCCCCCTTGTGACGTCATTACCTTGCAAACAACAAGTTTGATGGCGTTTGTAAATAGCATGGATGAAGCTTGAAATCATTGCGCTCTGAAAGCAACACTGTTAACACCAACAAAATTAAAGTTCTTTCATTCCTCTTACTTCCGTCGATGATAAATCCTTTCCTGACGTCATAGACAGCGTTCGGCCAATCGTGGAAGGCCGACCACAGCGACGCTTTCGGTCGCGTACGTCGCCAATAGTGAGTAGTCACTGGCTGTGTGCGCGAATTCTGAGCGCGTGCTGATGGCGAGCTTCGACAGTTCTTTTGCAACGTGCATTCCGCACCATCAAGAGTGCCGTTCTTAGCAGCCTATTGATGCGAGCTCGTTCAGAGCATGCGCTCTAAACAGCACCCACAAATATGGCGTCCGGTCTAAGCACGCTCCAAACCATGCCGCGAAACGGGCCCGCAAAAATAAAACAAACGGAACTCGAGTTTTTTTTTTTTTTTTTTTTTTTTTTTAACGCGAAAGCATTAATTGTTTTATGGAGTGAAGCTGGCATTTTCTGTAAAGGCCGATTCACACGACGGACTAATCCGCGGACGGAGTTATCACGTGACGACATGTCCGCGGTTTGTCCGTCTCTCAAGTGCATCCCACACGAGGGAGACGACAAGCAGACGCCACCGAGGACGAACCGAACCTGTTCGTCGACCCACAGCGCCGCATAACTCCAACATCGCACCGTGCCACCGTTGTACAGGAGAGAAATCGACGTTTGCTACCTTGATACAGAATCGTACGCCGCTTTTACGTACAGATCGAGACCAAACACCGTGATATGCTTCGCGCGAAGCGCCACTAGCTCTACAAACGCAAGGCATGACAGTGACACAGGCATGGTCCTGCTCGAGAAGGCTTCGGCATCGAAACGACGAAGTTCTAAACTCCCGAGCCCAGAACTATTAGGGAAAAGTGCAAGTACTGATTTAAAACCACACCGTCCCCTCCCATCATGTCGCGTCGGGCAGACGCTGCCACATTTACAGCTGGCAGCTGTCGTTCGATCTCCGGGAATTTGAAGATTTTGATAGGTTGAGGCAACTCACCTTCGGGATCTTGTCGGATCTCTTCTTTCCTCAAGTCGAGTTTGGATCTTGTGTACACTGCAAGGTGGAAAAAAAAAAGAAGATGGGGGCACATCAGTGACGGGTCTGGTGTTGAGTCTTCCCAACACTTTTTGCGAGGCGGAACATAAATATACTCTTAGTTTTCTCTTCTCCCAAGCTGGGGAGAGGCACAACACCGTTGTCATATCAAACTTCAAAAAAAGAAAAAGAACACGAGAAAGCTTTGCGCATGATTCGTTTGCTACACGAAGCAGTTTTTACAATATTTGGTTGTCGGAGGATAAAACTACGCATTTGGCGTTTCAAACGTGTACGTCTAGATAAAATAACATCAGGCTAATATAAAATTCACTCACATACATATATCTTAATTCTCCTTGATCAATGAGTAAAACAGTAGTGCTTCGCAAAAAGCCCTTTTTTTACCTACTTTAATTAATTATATTTTCTAAATCCCCGGCCTTCACCCTTTTCAGTATACTTTTAGTATCGCGAAATTCAGAGTAGTTATTGTGAAATTGGCAAATAAAAATGATGCCAAAACCAACATTCCAATATACCCGCGCTCCTCGGTGCCTTGAGATCGCTGACAGGCAGGGCTTATGGTCAAGCAGGCAGTCTAAAAAACAAACAATGCCGAGCATTTGTTTTGTGCTGCTAGCGAGGGTGCTAGAGCGAGCCTTCCAAAGCATTCCTTTGACACCATAAAACTGCCTGTAATCAGTTGGAAACAAATTCCACAGTTCAAAGAGTGAGACCCTGCCTGCCGCGGCTGGCGTCACTTTTTCATTGTTGCCAATAAAAACTTTCAAATTAAAAAAAAAAAAAGAAACGGTGAGGATTAAGTTTCTTTTAATTCGATAACTTCGTGAAATATATATATTTTTGGCCTTACAAGTAGGTTACTAGTTAAGCAATGTCTGTTGGCGTGTTTGGTCAATTTTCAGGCAAATCGGGGACCATGAAGAAAAAGGTCGGAGGTATTGCAACGACTTTTAAGTAGAAGGATTTTGCAGCTTGCATTTTTATATTCTTTCACTTGGCACAAGAAAGAGAAAACGCGACGACTTCCTCCGAAATACTGCAAGTCAGCTGCGCAATCGCCCCCCCCCCCCCCCCCCCCCCTCCAAAAAAAAAAAAAAAAAAAGTATTGTTTGCCGATTTGCAGCCGCGTGCGGAGGTTATAGGAACCACGATGTCCCGAAACATAGAGAATAGAGAGTTTGAGGGAACCGTTTTTGCTCATCCGATACGCTACGATGGGCCCTCCGGTAGGAACTGCGCATGCGCTGCCACAGAAGACTCGCGCATGCGCAGTTCGTACTGGAAGGCCCATCGTACCGTATCGGATGTGCAAAAACCGTTCCCTAAAACTCTTTAGTTTTGGTGGATCGTTCCGGTACCTCCGATAAGATACCATGCATGTGCAAAGGCATGCATCAGCGAAATATCGGGTATGGTCATCGGAGTGATCGGAACGATCTACTAAAACTTTCTGTTGGGAGTATAGACGGAATGTCAACAAGCCCAGGCCCCTTCCGCTGCTACGATTGCCGTTAACACCGAGGCGAACTGGCTTTTGTCTCGATCGATCGCCACGGTATTTGGCGATGCTAATCCTCAAAAATGTCGACATCAGCGGAGGGAGCGCTGGGGACATAGACGCCGGAACCCAACAGGAAACCAGGTGGTACTTACTACCAGGGACGTCACTCGAAAGATGTTGTAAGAGTTGAGGGGCCTGGGCTTGCTTCAATTTGTTTAATTTTTTTTTTAATTAAAACGCGCAAGAAAAAAATTGTTTTCTGTTTTCTGTTTCTTAGGTGACTCGGCAGCTTCTAGATGGTGCCAATTCTTTTGAAAAGGGTGTATTAGGTCACAGGATGGATGTACGCGTGAGTACTCACGTGTGTAGACGAGGGCGCTGACTACGGCCACGAGGACTAGAGCCGCCAGCAGGACGAGGATGGCGACGAACTTGCTCCTGGACGAGGACGAGGCACACGAGGACGAAGAAGGCAGGAACCGGAGCTTCCAGAACCGGCATAGAGGCCTCTTCTTGAGCTTGGCCCCTCCGGCCACGCCGGGGGCCCCGTGGGGTTGCAGCTGGGGGCTGCCAGGGTCGTGCCTCGACGGCTGCAGGGACCCCTGTAGCTTGACGCCGTGGTGGGGCAGGTCGGGCTCCTGGTAGCCGCCTTTGTCCACCTGCGAGGGCACGAAATGAATCTGGTTAGGACTCGATACGCACTGGATGGCGGGCCTGATACGGCCGGATAATGACCTGATGTGACCGAATCAGGTTCGGATATGGATCATGGCTTGATGTGACCTGATCATGACTGGTGATGACCAGAACAGGTCCAGATATGGCTGAACAGGTCCAGATATGGCCGATATGACCTGACCCAGATCGGATCGACCCTTTCACCCTAAAAGATTTGTAACACCCATGTTCGATTGTTTTGTAACACAACCCCGCATGTAATATCCCCGCAAAGGGCGTCGTTAAGGCATTCAAGTAAAGTGAAGATATGGATCATGACTTGATATGACCGGTCTAGGTCCGCATATGACCGAATTATCGGGTGGTATAACCAGAATAGATTCTAATGTGGCTATATTTTATTATGTCGTATGATATATTCTGACCCTGTTATAATTCGATTATAACGTGACATGATTAGGTGCGGGTATAGCCAAATTACAGTGTGGTATGACGAGGTTTGATTCTAATACGGCCGCATTAGAATATTATATGGCCTGATTAAACCCTGATACGGCCCGATTTTCGCCTGGTTCGATCAGATTGGTGCATACGATGACTGGATTACGATGTGGAATGACCGGATTATATTCTGATATGACCCGAATAGGTCAGGATATGGCCGCATTATCGTGGCATGTCCAGTGAGATTTTGTATGGCTGGATATAGCGGGTATTCACTAGACGCCACATTTGAGTGCTGTGTTCAGTGCAGCATGCAAGATCGCGTAAGTACTTGCATAGGACTTATTTGTATAATTTCTGGTAAGTTCATTGGACAGGTAAGATAAGAAAAGTTTGCTTTTAAAAATGGTTGTGAAAATTATTTTCCCCACACGTTTTCTGCATTGCAATAAGGACTATAGTATTCGGTTGAGTACGCCAACAATATGTCTAAAATAGGTTTTCATTTTTATTTCTTACCCCTTTATGATAGGCTTAGTTTCAGACTCCCCAAAAAAGTGTTCGGCCTAGACAGACTGTGTTCCCTAATATTAATCTCATTCGAATCTCGAAAATAAACACAACCGAGGGAATTCACTTGGCTGACTGCTCTCGCCTCGTATTTTCCCTTATCGTTTTCAATTTCAAACTCGAATCTATTTTTCCTCTCGAGATCGCTCTTAGATGAGCGCGGCAACTTGGAGAACAGGCTATGCTTGGAGGCTATATAGCTTTCGCATCCATCGCGAAATGCAGTTTCGCATAAAATATATATATATAGAAGGAATACAAAGCGCGAATACGGGCAGTAGCACATCTTTAGAACGTAGGAAAAAGAAAACGCCACGATGTAGCGCGCCAAACCACTAAATATTAATGCACTCCTCGAAGAACATCCGCAAAAGATTGTGCGGCAGTTCCGACAAGATTCATAAACGCGATTGCCGCAAAAAGCGTTATTAAAAAAGATTAACTTTTTCTTTTCGATTTTTATTGCAAACTGGGAGCGACTTGGTTTTCACGCGTTCAACGTTATAATGTGTATGCGCAACTTTCTGAATGCGTGCATTTAAAATTCGGTTTCTTTCGAACCCCCCCAAAAAAAAACGCGATGGCGAAGCCGAAAAATGGAGAGAAAGATGAAGAGATGTAAACTGACTGGGAAGTACTTTTCCGGGTATAAAGCTATTTCCGACAGAGAAATCGTTCTCGAAGGGGGGATTTCTTTACTCCATTTATCAAGCATGTATGTATACTTGGCCGCCGCATTAAAGCGGTAAGAGAATTATAGCGCTTCTTTCCTTATCGCTGGAAGTCGGGGTGTAATATATTCACGCCTATGGCACGCATTGGTTTCTGCTTGTTTGTTTTGTCCGATGTGGAGAGGATGGGAAAAGGATGCGTGTTTTCTTAATCCATCCTCGTTGCGTGCACCCGGTCGGGAACAAGATGTTACCTGTGAAAACTGCTTTTCTTTGTTTGCTTGTTTTTACTTTAAGCTCACTGGACCTCGTCGTAGTCATTATACTAAGCAAAACGGGGCGTCAGCCCAATGCAGTCGAATTAAAAAAAAATAATAATTTCCAACCGAAAGACATTTATCAGCCGCTTCTTAAACTTGGCCTGTTGTGGGACTGCAGCGTGCTAGGACTGCCGTGCAGCGTTGTACGAAACGGCGTCGTAGAACGCGCTCCACTTAAAAGGAATGCCGCAGTACCCTCTTGCATTGGTAGACCTGTACTCGTTACGTTGTCGAAGAAACGGCAAAATGAACGCCCTCCCCCTTCTCTTTTTTTTTTTTTTCTTTTTTTGTTTGGGGGGTGGGGTGGTATGTTTATCTGCAATTTTAACCGCATTTAGTAGGCATTTAGTCATTTTATTATCGACTATTTCATCCTCCGACTTGTCCCGGAGATAGCCCAAAACAAAGAATTGGAACAAATGTAATGGCGGCGACATGACACGTTGTTTGACACGTAGATGTTTTCACTCGGCTCACTTTATCTTAACTACGGATCCTATGGCGCGATATTTTTAGTAAAGTGCGCAAACGCAACGTTACCGCAACGGTACGTTCCGATCTTAGAAATGTAAGGGGAACGCGCTCCTTTCGAACCACTGGAACTTGGTCAGGGGGGAAAGATTGAGAAGGAACGAGCTTTCGTTTCCTGTTTTCGGAGGTACAAGTGCAACACCGCTGCGGTGCTACGAGGAATTGCTCGCAACGCGCGATGTTTTGCACAGCGACACGTGACCCTCCCGACGTACCACCTTTCTAAGAATTCCGATCAGAGGATGAGCTCTAAACGGTTCGGCTCTCTGCTGAATGGTTCAATTAGGAGTCACTATACATCGGCTACGCTTTAACAGTAAAGATGATTCACCCATTTTGCGTGGCGCTTAAGATCGTGGTTGCAAGGTGTCCGAAGTTTTATCTAAAACCGCAGAAAACGTCTTTTTTTTTTTTTTTGAAGGTTAAAACGGTTTGCTCAGCGCAAAACGGTATCGGCTGAACGTCCTTAGACCGTGCCCAAAACTTAGGAAATCCTATTTTTGAATCGTAACACTAAACGTCTATTCGCGAGGTGCTTCTTTTTTGGCGAGTCTGGTGTCGCGAAACTATGCGGAGGGCAAGTTCGTCTGCTTCTTGCACAGGGGTTGCGATGATATTAGAACGCCGAGCTCTTATTGGCTGATTGAAAAAGAATAGTGGGTAGACCTCAAGGCATGTAGCATTGAGGTCTGACTACACTCCTTTCAATCAAAGCCAACTAGAGCTCGGTGTCGTTCTCACGTCATCGCAAGAAGCAGACGACTTACTCTCCGCGCATACGTTTGCAAGGAGCCGCGCTTCGAGAGCTAGTCTGGCCACCGTGGATGGAAAACGCGTCGCTTGGGCGCCAGTCTGAAAACCGTGGGCACGCCTCAGCAATGCTTGACTCTCAGACGATCTACCACCCACACCAGCAGCAAGATGGCGGCGCCCTGAGGTCGTGCTTTCAAACGTTTATGGGTTTCAGAAAAAAAAGATCGAGGTACACCCAAGCATTCCTTATGAGTTCTGAATGCGAAAGCATGCAAGCCGCTCGTCCGTTCCCTTTTTCGTCTGCTGCGTAGTTTTCGTCGCCGGTCGGCGCGTGTGCTCCCCTGGTGACCTTGGACGCTCCGCGTTGATGGACACGCAGCGCCATGGGGTGAGCGGTCGTAAACACTGACGAGCACAACGGCCAATGGGAGCCCCGTTGACGCGCGCCAGCCATTGGAACCGAAGGAAACTAGGTGCCGTTTTCCCGCTTCAGACTGGTGACGTCAGCTCGCTCCATGAGACAGTTATTGCTTTCGCATTAAAAACAGATGCGCCGTCTGAACGAAACGGGTAAAGACCAACGAGTTTGAGTAAACGTAGAGCGGTAAGCCAGCAATCAAAAATAGCACCCCCCCCCCCCCCCCCCCCGGTAGCCGGCATCTTGACCGTTTGCCATAAAAGGCTGCCCTTGCTTTATGTCCTTCTAAAAAGAGTTGATTCAGTGGTTTTCGATGACGCTGAGCAAGTTTCTAATTAGAACTATATGTCTATTTTCATTATTTAAAATAATTAACGAATTTTAATTAATTAGCCGACTGATCGTTACGATTTGCCCCCTATACTCTGTCCCCTTGGCCGTATAACTCACCAGCACAAACCGCGTAAGTGTAACTTTCACGGCTTTTTTTAAACAAATCTGTCAAGCTAAAAAAAGAAAAAAAAAAAGAAAAAAGAAAAACACCCAGTATATAACCCGAGTGAGGCAAATCGTACGAAGTTTATCCAGTACTATTAATAGATCGGACTGTCTCTTCACACTCTCCCTACATCACATCAATTGCTGCAAAACGCTCAATATCCCGGGTGCAGACGACAAGTTTTGGCGAAATTCTGGCGAGTCAAACTCGACGTGTAAACTAGCCAATCGCTCGAAATCTCAATTTCGCAAAACCGCAATGCGCTAAAAAAAAAAAAAAAAGTATCGCGTGAATAAATTTTATTCGCCATAGTGCGGCGCCCATCAGGAAAGTTGGGAACGGAATGCCGGAATCAATAGAAATAACAAAACTTTTTTTGTGTGTCTGTGTTGGCCCGCATAAATAAATTACGCGTCGCAGAAAGCTGAAACTCAAATACGGAAGTTTGAGCACACGACGTATAGATCAAAATGTACGAAAAAAAAAGCAAAACAGTATTTCTCAATGAGCCGGCGTCCACGAAGTCTTGTACACGTTACTCGAAAAAAAGTAATCGATTATAATTACTCTTGCTTTAAAAGGGTATTAAATGAGATTACTCGATTGCATACATCGAGATGAAAAGTCTTGTTGGCCGTTACTTGAAAAAGTAACCGTTATTTTCCAATTAAACATAAGATTTTCAAAACGATAGTTTTCTGCCGGTTTGAAAACGGGTCTTTCGTTAATACTGCCGATTATTAAATTAGGATCACCGAATTAGAAACAATACTTG